TTTCTTTATAAATTAAGTTTAAATGATAAGAAATTAAGTTTTGGATGGAATTTGTAGAGAGTATTGATCTTTAATGTTGGAAAAAGTTGTGATGAATTAAATTCATGCACTTCACTTACTTCTTGATTTGGCCAATCTGGATGTTAAAATTTATTGTGAGAACATGTAAGAACCGGGCTAGTATCATCTCAGTCAATAATTGAAAATAATCAAATGAGGATGTATGAATGAGAATGTAGTTCATATGATTGAGTGCAAATAAATAGGGAAATATTCATTGATGGGTGTAGAGTTAGAGGACTTTAAAGTGATAGGTTAAAGCCCCCCATTTGGTTTATTGTTTTAGGTTCTAATACAAGAATGTTAGCCTATAGGTGGAGGGAATCAAGGGAACTCTAGAGTGAGAGCTAGTATCTTCCCTGCCTAGCCGGTCTTCAGAACTATTCAAACTTTGAATTAGCCAATGTTCTTCACAACATCTCTAGCAAGCGTAAAGAATATTTTTGCTTCTATTTTGCACAATACAATTTGCATACTTCAACAACAGAATTCCTATACTTATTACTGATTCATGATAAGAAGAAAGATATTTTCATATTAAGTACTTTTCTTTACAAAAACTTTAGTTATCTTTTTAAGTTGTTACTGTTTTGTTAAAATATAAAAAAAATCAAAAATATTTAAATTTTAAATTCCTGCAAAAATCATTTTTAGTTTAAGTAATTATCTTTTTAAAAATAAAAAAAAGCTTTCTAAAAAGTGCATATTGCATAATCTTCCCTATGGGTTTGATATTCAGGTCTTAATCAAAAAGTCTTATATTACTTGATAACGATATATATACTTGCATAGTATCCCAATATAAACATATATAAATTAAAAAGTTAAATTCTTATTTTTCTTCAAGATCAAATTTTTGGTTTTGTTGTAAAATAAGGAAATATAAGTAAAATATAATCTAAATTATTGTTGTACTTTGCATAATAGAAGTATCAAGGGGGATCAGATTTGCATGATTATTTTCCCATTGTTGGTTTCCACCCCAAGTAGTATGATACTAATTAAAATAAGGATGGTTCTTCCAACCTAGGTTATAAAATTTGGAATATGGGTTGTTTATGGTATTTAAAGTTTCATATGATAAGTTAGAATCAATCATATGCCTAAACTGAATTTCAATATCTATGTTTAGACTTAGCTTGATTAAAACTTTCAAAAATCATATTTGTCTTGATTAAAACTATTAAAAATTATGTTTGGCTTGTACTCAATTTATTTATATTAATTGAATGAATATTTTAAATTATTAAAAAACTAAAATTTTAAATAAATACTTACTTTTCGTACTAAGTTATTAACAAATGATTTCGTAAATTTAAATAAATAATCATTTCAGTAAATTTTGCATTATTATCTTATCAATATACACTTATTACATAAGATAACATATAAATTACAATTAATTTATTTTATTATCATATAATTAAATTAAGTATTAACTTGTTATTTTAATAAAATAAAGAAAAAAAAATTGTAATAAATTATAAAATAAACTAATATTAAAATGTAATATGTTTTTATAAAATATATAAAAAAATAAATTTTAATTAATAAAATTTTATTTAAATAATAACATATATAGTATAGACTAGCAACGAACATATCGCAGATCATTTAAAAAGTTATTCATTCAATAATAAACTTGTCTGTTTCTGGATATTATTTACTAATGTATACAAGCATATTCAAGTATTAACTAAATCGAGTTCGAGTTATCCATCAAGATTACCTTCTTTTATTTATTATTAAATTTTTTTATCTGAAAATTTACCAGAATAGTTTGGGTCATATTTATTCATGACAAATTGTTAAATTTATCCAAATATCATGCATTTCTCGGTAGCCATTAAAAAGCAACGAAATGTGGCATCAAAGTAAAACAGATGAAAACCACATTATATTATTTCCACGAAGCACAATTTCTACAGTTGTGAAATCCTACATATAACCCGCAGAAAACAGGCAGAAGATAAAGAGGGGATGCGAGATCAGAGCAGCAGTTTTCAGTCCAACGCCCAAAAATTCTCCCTGCGAACCGCCGCCTCCTCTTCAGGTGTGAAGTCATTCTTGATGTTAAGTGTCCTGCGGATTTCTTCCGGAGTCTTGTCATTTATCATATCGGCAACAGTTTTGCAGGTCAAATCCAGCAGCCCAGTGATGTTGAGATAGTTAGCAGCCTGTGTGCGCCACAGAAGCCGTAGTATATTAGCAAAATAAGAAAGGAAAATCAATCATTGCATGGCCATTTACTATTCCAGCAGAGTACATATATTTACCGTGGTACTTACTAGTGCACCTAGAATTTGAATGGGAAAATATTCCATGAAGTGACCCATCTGGAAAGCAGACAAATGGGCCAATCAATGGGATGGTAATGACCAAACTCCAACCAGACCGGAAACCTTGTCTAATTTTGAACGAACCCGAAAGGCCAAATCAATTTGGCAAAAAGATGGACGGATTTCTATACTTTATTTACTTGACGTACCTAGCCAACCAATGTGGTTATAAAGTGGGAATAGAATCAATGCCAATCCAACCTATTTATCATCCAACGGTAACTAGACTCTTTTTTCTTATATGTATAAATAAAAACAAATAAAAATTGGGAAAATAAAACTAGCCGTATACCCTCATGTCTCAAATATAGCAATCCAGCCCATTTTATTTTAGTTAACTTATGTAGCCAATTTGAAAATTTAAATTTCATTGGAATTAAAATTTTTAAGTTAAAAGACAATACTAAGTAAAATAATTCAAGAATAGTGGACTGGCCGGTGTCGCCAACCGGTCGGTTTTGAGTCTCATTTTGTTGAACATTGTTTTGAATAGGATGTTCACCAAATTTTTAGTTTTGACTGGGATGTTACCCACCCGGTAGGTTTCTATAAGCTTCATGACAAAGATTGCTTCGTTGTATGGGTTTTCTTTTGACGGGAGATCTGCATCAATCAGAATAATTGAGGGTGAGTATGAGTATAAGAGGCGATGGAACATACCTCCTCCGATCAATCTCTCTTTAGATGATGGATCCATCATGGATCATGTTTTCCATGATGGCTCGTTCGTGGGCTCCTCCAATACAGCCTTCCCTTGTCGTTGTGTGGGTCCTCTGACAACGACGAAGATTGTTTCAGTTTTCTGGCCTTGATTAGCTCCTCCACTAAATTTCTACGATGGTGACACTCCTCCATGTCGTGCCCATGATCCCAGTGGTAAGCAAAATATTTGTTCAGATTCCAAAGAATTGGTGCGGTTTTCAATGAAAGGGGCTTCTTGAAATAGTTTTTATTTTGAATGGTCTGAGTAGCTCAACCATTGACACATTCAAGGGTGTCGAGTCCTGCATTTCCAGATATACATGCGATCGTCCATGATACTAGAATGACCGTTAGTTAGAATGGTACCTCTGACCCTTATTGCCTCGATAACTCTCTCGGTTATCCCATGACCGAGGATTATCGCCCCACCGACGTCATGGACTTGATTGCCCTTAGGCATTTTCCCATTGTCTCTGATACACCTAAAATATATAGTATTTTTAGACACATTTTTATACCTATTTTTGAGATATTACGCTTTAATGGAAGGTATTTTTGTGTTTTTCTTACAGATACATGTAAAAAGGGTAAAAAATGCTTAAAGGAGTGAAAAAGGATCAAATTTGGAGCAAAAATGTGAAAAATGTGCAAATGAGTTTTGGCGCCTAAGCGCCAAATCCAGCGCTTAAGCGCCAGTTAAACAGAGAAGGCCACGCCTAAGCGCCAAAGGTCCAACGCTTAAGCACCAGTGGTAGTTATTGTGCGAGTAAATTCAGTTTCTGCGAATTTTGAAGAGTTTTTGAGGCACCCATTGGCTTAATAGGTGGTTATAACCACCATGGATGAAAATTATCACGAAATGATGCATCTCTTTGGGAAATACCTTTGGGAAATGCATCTCTTTGGGAAATACATCAAATTGGGACAAATTTTGAAGAGTTTCCAAGGTACCTCTTGCAAAACGATAAAAGAAAGAAGAGAGGGCTTTGAAAAGAGTCCTGAAAATACTTGGAAAGTTTTGAAAGTTCATCATTTGGGGAGTTAGTAGGAGAGATTTTCAGGCACCACTTTTACTTTTATTTTATCCTTTTATTTAGTTTATTTTGAGTGATTGTAAAGAGAAGAGATTCAAAGGAACTTCAACAGTTTGGTGGAGAACTTGAAATAAGTTTTTATCTTTTTGTTTTGAGACTACTTTTGATTTTAATTGAAACTTGTTATTTGTTTGACAATGATTTCTACTTTTAAACTAAAGTGTGGTTTTATTTTCTCCATGGATTCTGAGTAGTTTTCTTTATTTTTCTTCTTAAAATGATAAGTAATTAAGTTTTGAATGGAAATTGTGGAGAGTATTGATCTTTAATGTTGGAAGAAGTTGTGATGATTTAAATCCATGCACTTCATTTACTTCTTGA